GCCCAGCCCACGGCCAGGAGGCAAAAGGGGGCGGGGCGGTGATGTACACAGCCAGGCCCCTTCCCCTCCCACCGTGGCGCTCAGCTGACTTCTGCAGGGGTGCTGCATAGGGACTGCGGCGCCCAAAAGGTCGCTTGCTCCCCTGCAGCGGCCCGGCTGAGCAGCGCAGAAGTCAGCTGAGTGCCACAGCTGGAGGCGAAGGACGTGACACGGCCAGGAGGCAAAAGGGGGCGGGGCGGTGATGTACACAGCCAGGCCCCTTCCCCTCCCACCGTGGCGCTCAGCTGACTTCTGCAGGGGTGCTGCATAGGGACTGCGGCGCCCAAAAGGTCGCTTGCTCCCCTGCAGCGGCCCGGCTGAGCAGCGCAGAAGTCAGCTGAGTGCCACAGCTGGAGGCGAAGGACGTGACTCAGGCAGCAGCCAGCACTTCAGCGTTACAGAGTCAGACATTGGGCTACTATACGTATGATGCTTGCAACAGCCGTTTTAATAATCCAAATGTTTTCTTTTTGTTTTGGCTAACCAGTATTGGTTAATTTGTGTGTCCTTACACCTACATACCTAAGTGAAATGCGTTAACTGAGGGAAGCAAAGCCCCATTATTCTCTGCAGATTCTCTCTTTGTTTTCCCAACTCCAAGCAAAAGGGAGGTTGTGGCAGGGGGAACTTTGCCTCAAGGAAGGGATCCCAAGTGGTTTCTTCCCTGGAAAAAGGTTTATTGATATTTTTAGATACGCTTGGTGATGGCAGCGATCAGTCTTTTTTTGGGATCTCAGGGAAACTGAGACCAGACAAGTTTGTCTCTGGGAGTTACAGAGAGGTTCTTACAGAGTTTATTCTGCTAGCCAGCCCCCATAGCTACATTTGAAGTGCCAGCTTGGGGAATTGAGCCATGACAGGGAGCAACAGGGCCGTTCACGCTGCTGTGCCACGGTTTCTGGCTGTCCCATGGCACAGTCGAAGTCACAAGCCATTCCCCTTGGATTCGTTACTGGCATCTGGAGCAAGTGCTGCAGGATCTGAGAATACCTGGGCCCCGCTATGTCCAGCGGCAGAGCTCTCACTGCGGCCCTAGGAGTCCATGCCAGTCCTCTGCAATCCTTAACGCAAGACGCTGGCCACGCCTGGGCTAAGCAGCGCTCCGGCAGCACAGCCAGTGAGAGCTCATGGTTCTTTCAGCCCCAGAGTGGTGCTGCTCTCTGGCATCGGCTACAGACAGAACAGGGCCTAGCCCCCCCACCCCCAAGGCACCTCACCTCTGCTTTCAGCTGCTCACAGATAGCTGCATATTTGCTGATGTGGCAGTCCAGGCTGAGCACGTTACTCTTCAACTGCAGGATGGAAAGGGGGTTGGGAAGAGGAGAGGTTAAAGAAACAGATGTGGCTCTGTGGGAGCGAACCGAGAGGCCAGGCAGCCCTGTTGCTGTAACATTAGTGCCAGTCCCGCTATGGGTTTGTTTAAGCAGATGTGCTGGGTGCAGGGACACCTGTGAAGAGAGACGCTCCCTTTCATGGTCACTCATGCCAACCCACAAAGTGACGCTTGGCACTAGCCAATGCCCACGTCTCCTCCAGACTGAGCTGCGTCACTGTCAGCAACTCCAGCTGTGCTAGTCTGGAGAAGGCAGAGACACGAGGACTAGATCGCTCAGAGGTCTAAATAGGGCCTACTAGTGGACCCTTTATAAGACCCTTTTAATTATCCAGAGGCCCCATGACAGGCGGTGAAGCTCATGGAGCCAGCTCCTGCCCCCGACAGAAGTCTGTATACAGTTGTGTGGGACCCACCGACAGTTTGATCTCCTTGGCCCGATTGGCATACTTGAGCGTGTTGTAGGTGTCCTCGTAGGCAAGTGCAGATGGGCTGATGGCAGCAATCATGATGGTCCGGCAGTTACCCCCAAGAGAGTCCTTCAGCAGGCGTGTGAGCTTACTGTCCCGGTAGGGGATGTGGGATTTTCTGCTCTGTTTGGAGAGACCAGGGCCTCGTCTCAGTTACAGGGATTTCTAAGATGCCCAGCATGCCTATAGCCTAGTGCTCAGGCTCATTCCCATGACATAGGTTAGGAAGCAAGTGCACGAAGAGGCCATTGGTCCAGCCCTGTTTCACCACAGTTAATATCAGAGACTATTCCTAATCCTATGAAGTCCTCCTGAGCTAGATGTGTCAATATCCTGCAGCAGAGAGTTCCTTAGGTTTGTCAGACAAGGAAATACCTTATGTCAAATGCCTTTTTCCCCCCTTGCCCTTTGCACTGCAGGAAT